GGGGCCCGGACCGAGCCCAGGGACCGGTAGTTGGTGGAGAAGGTGATGGAGCGGGTGGTGACACTCATGCTGCCCGGGAAGGAAAGCGAGAGACCAGGACTCAAGTTCGGGTCACCCACTGGCTCACTTTCATTTTACCAAAATATAAACTGAAGAGCTGCAATCTTAAATTTCAATTTAAATGTACACTTGGAAAAAAATATTAAATTTTAAAAAATTAAATAAAAACTTATAAAAATTAAAATTTTGTATTTTTCATACTAGGTGTTTCACTATAAATTAGAAAACTTAATAATTGGAATTTGACTTGCATCTTTTGTCTGTTCTGCTTACTGACAGAGACTGGCACCTTGAACATTACCTAAGTAGAGCAGAGTAATATTTTTATTTTTTTCAGAGTAATATTTTTAAACACGAATTTATTCCAAACAAAGGACATCAAAATCTTGACCAAGAAGTTGTGCTTTGCTCTCTCTCAGGATGGAAGGCTTATGTCACCTGCTAAATATTACACAATGCTGCAACACAGACGCCAGCACGTAAAGTTAGCAAGGGAGCACGAGACAGCTATGCTTGAAACAAACCACTGCTCAGCTCTGGGCGATCGCGGTTTGTGTAGTTTCTAAGCTCATCTCAGCTATTACTACCTGTGTAACTGTATCTCTAATATAGTGATTAGAAAGTTGATTTTATGAAGTGAAGTGCACATAATCTTTATAAAACACGGACCTGTCACCTAAGCAGTATTTAGACCATTTACTAGTTGTGAGACCTTGAGTTGCTTAATTTCTCCAAAGTTCACTTTCCTTATTACAAATAAAAAGGCTACCAATACCTTAAAGGACTGCTTGTAGGATGGCCTGAGGTGGAAGTGTGCAGTGCGGTAAGCAACTAAATGCTTACTAAGTTATTCTTAGAGAAGGAAGTTCCAACTCCTGCTTCCTCCCCTCTGCCCTGCGAAACGACCACACATTGCGGGCCTTCTGCACACCCAGGCCAGTGGCGGGGCCCCATGGCATCCAAGCCACGGGGAGCTGAAAGACTCACCGACCCTGGCCTGGCCTTCAGTTGCACTCACCAGCCTGCCAGGCAGACCTCAGCAACTGCCGGTGGCGCCTCCTGCTGCCCTGAGTGGCGGACGTCCCCTCCAGCCCTTGGGGTACAGCTCTGGCACCACGCTTCTTTCTCTACAAGGCCTTTTATTCCCTTATTAACCTTCATTTTCTACTCTTCTTCAATTAAACTATTTTCTGAAAGCAGGCCCCCAGCCTTCCATCTCTGTGCCTCCCAAAGCATCTACTTCAATGCCTGGAAACAAACAAGAGCTCAGTAACTGGCGCCGCCGGCATGGCACCTGCCTAGCAAGCACTAAGTCCTGAGTTCGCTGCCTGGTACAAGCCTCCCAACTCCCAATAATTGCTTGTGATGGACATTTAATCAGCTTGGTGTTTTTCAAACTTTTATCTGGAAATAATAAAAACATAGAAGCTAATTTTCTCAGAAGTTTATAAATGTAGCCTAAGTGACCAGATTTGAATATAAATTTGGTTAAGTTTTTGGAGGGCTCATGTTTTTCTACTTAAAACACAAGAATTTTATATTCTATTCCAGAACAGACCTGTAGCTATTTAAACCTGGAAACCTGATTACTTCCCCTTACTTTCCCCTTCTTGTTAATTATGATCAGGCAATACTTCTGGATATAAGGGATGGAGGGAAGTCGGGGGTTAGCACTGGAGAGATGCTGCAAAATATGTAAAAGTTATCAGATGGAGAAATAGTGTCTATGCTGCAGCTACGAAAAGCTACGGCTGCAACTAGCAGGGGGCATTTGAGGAAATGTCTGCTCTCTGAAGGAAAAAGCCAGCTTTGGATGGAATAAAATCAGAGCAAGAAGAAATTTTAGAGCTGGTAAGAGCAAGGTCCTGAGTTCAATTCTCAGTACCCCCCAAAAATTAATTTAATTGAACTTGAGAAGCCACAAAGAGTCAGAAGTTACTAAGGTAATAAAAAAAAATGGCATTTCAACAATACCTAGGTACACAGAGAAACCACATTACCCACGCAAGGAAGAGAAAAAGACAGACCCTGCGCCTGCCTCATGTCAAGGCAGGATGCTTCCAGTTCCCTTCAGAGCCAGCTGCTTTGCAGGGTCCTCCAACGCTCCCTCATACTCTTTCTCTCTCTTTTCATAAACATCAACACACTGCTTTTATTTTACTCTATTTTATTTTTGACACAAGGTCTTGCGAGGTAGCGCAGGCTGGCCTGGAACTCACAGCCATCCTCCTGCTGTGGCCTCCTGAGCACCAGCTAGGATCACAGGCGTGCTCTGGCTGCCATGCCCAGCTTTGAGGTTCGCTTTAGTACGGGCCCAACGAGCAAACGTGTCTGTGGAACATGGAAAGGCTTGAGCCTGACAATATCTAATTTTATAATCTATGGCAATATCTCAAACATCAAAGCAACAATGTTGCAAAAACTCATTTCAACATCGTACTACAAACAGAAAAAAAAATCCACTAATTCAGAAATTGATTTGCTTCTAAAAAGCATGGAAAACTGAGTGTGGTAGTCCATGTTTGTAACCCCAGGTACTGGGGATTGAACTCAGGACCTTGTGCCTTATTCTACTGAGCTATCTCCCCAGTCCCAAAAATTTCTTTAAAAGTCAACTTACTAGCTTCCTAAACTAAAAAGTTCTTCACGGTTAACTTAGGAATATTCTAAACTGTATTCTTGTCTAAGAGACAACAAATCTCTTTAACAAGAGTCCGAACAATAAACATTGCACATTTTGCAGGGCAGAAGACTAGAAAAAGAATATGAGTAAGTGTGCGGCCACTACTTAACTCAGCTCTTTTTTCAATTCACGTGTTGAATTATTATTGTCATTCTGGTATTTTTCCCCAACTATTTTACAAATATCAAGCCATCCTTAGATCATGGGCCACACAAAAACAGGTAAAGACAACTGTACTAACAGTATCTCTAAGAAATCATACTTTCAAGGAAAAAGATAAAAGTATGGGAAAGCTGAGCATGGTGGCCCAGGCCTGTAACCCCAGCTGCCTAGGAGGAAAATGAAGTCGACGGCAAGGTGAAATCAGGTGTGGACAACTGAGCAAGACCCTGTCTCAAAACAAAGGGCTAGAAATGTACTTACGTGGTAGGGCATTTACCTAGCACGCGCAAGGCCCTGCACTACTGAAACAAAGTGTGTGTGTGTGTGCGTGTGCGCGCACGCGCACGGGGGAGTGTATATGTACGTGCAAACATGTCAATTCACTTATGTGGCATAAAATTATAGCAAAATGCTAACAATAAATAAAGATAACTTACCTTTCTTCTTTTAACTTTTATTTCTCAAGTCTTCTGCAATTAACATAATTTATAATGGGAAAAAAATTAAACAAAATCCTCAATATAAACCTGTGTTTTTATAGCTTAAAAGACTTCACACATACCTTTGAGGGTTTGTACCTGGTCCTGCTTGAGAACAGAGTTTAAGTAGTGAGGTGATAAAGAACCACTGAAAAGTGAACAGAAAAGACAAAAGTGCTCGTGACATCTTTCTCTTTTTACAGAACTGAGTCACCAATACAACTAATTTGTACCACTAAACATACAAATTATTTTTACTTTGTTTTCTCTGCTAGTAATACTCAGTTTAGGGAGAATCTGCCAAAGAAGAAAGTGCTTAAAGGCAAGATAGGCATATTTATTTGGATATTCTTAAACAAAATAATTTCTTAAGTTTCTACATCTGTAAAATAGGAATAATTACAACTCTTACACAGGGTTGTTAAGTACATAAGAACAGTGCACTTAAAATGCCGAGAACAGGCTGTGCACAGTGGTACTCGCCTGTAATCTTGCATTTGGGAGGTTGAAGCAAGTTCAAAGTCAGGCTGAACTACAGTGAGCTTTTGCTCAAAACATAAGCAAAACAACCAAGTATAAATAAATAAAACAAGTGAACATAAACAGAACCTTCTATTAGTTTCTAAAGTATTATCTAGTACAGCATCTAAGCAACACCACTAATAAGAGATGAATTCTGGTAACTTCTTAGTTTCATTTCAAAAGAAAAATCACTCAGTAGGTTCCATTTTCAACACGTTTTAATCCTTAAATATCGTAGCCAACTTAAAATTCTCAGTGAATTATGGGTGATATATACCATTGATATTTCAGCTTTAGCTTTCTTAGTGTTAGTTTTTTTGAAGTGTACTTCATCTACAACTTGCCCTTTACAAGCTCCCTAGTAACAAGCATTCAAATGTGCTGGTGTGGTGGTATATGCCTGTAATCCCAGCACTTCAAGTCTGAGGCAGGAGGATGGTAAAGTTAGAGCCTAGCCCAGGCCAGCTAGCATTTTAGACAAGATTATGTTTCAAAATAGAGACAGAAAGGGGGCTGGGATGTAGTTCAATGAGAAGGCTCTAGTGTGATGTCCAGAATTGTGCCAAAAAAAAAGAGAACTCAAATGAACTGGTTTTGTTGCTTTGTTTTATCTTCTGAGACAGTCTTTTTGCTGGCGTTGAACTTGAAACAATCCTGCCTCAGCCTCTCAAATGCTGGAATTACACACATGTGCTCCCACGCTCAGCTGTATTTTTCAAAAAACAAGGAACAGAATCCACCTTAAAGTTATCTTAAGAGCCAGCAAATAGCTAAGAGGATTAAAGCGCCTGCAAGCAGGCACAGGGGCCAGGGGTTTGATCCCTGAGCCTGCAGTGCCGCGCCCCGGGGTGCTGAGATGGCGATTAGACTGGGTGTGGAGGTGCACGCCTGTCATCCCAGCACTTGGCAGGCTGTAAACAGGAGAATCACCATGAATCTGACCTGGCAGTGAGACCCTGAATACCCTGTAGACTCTTCCCTAAAATACAGAAAAAAAGTTGCCTTGGGTGTGAGGGTGGGGTCAGCTGAGGATGTGGCTTAGCCACTAGACAGAGCTCTTGTTCTGCATGCACAAGGCCCTGAGTTCAACCCCCAGCATCACAAGAAGAAAAAAGCTAGCTTAATAAAATTTGGCATTTTCAACCCAAATAAAATGTATATAGTAAGAATTTTTAAGGCGTTAGACTGCTTAGGAAAAGGAAACAAAATCAAATACAAGGAAGCCACATAATTTTCAGATTTAACTTAAAATGTGAAAGCTAGAAAATCAATAGGAGTCACTGGGTTTAAAAAAAAAGTCAAGAGAAATTTTAAGGAAATATACTGTCATGACATTTATCAGAAAAAAAAAAAAAACCTTCAAAGTGTCATTTTACTTGCCACTTAGAAGAGTTTGGATATGGACATACTTAAAATTACTAATGAAAGAAGGAAAAACCTAAAAGGAAGTATTAATGCAGTATGCATATAAAAATCCTAAACTGTCAGTCATCTCATTTATTTTTCAATAATTTTATTGAGAAACAAATAGTAATGAGACAGCTTCAAATCCGATTAGTAGGACAGTTTCAATAGTTACTACGTTGCACATTGTTGTCTTAGTGGTTATTCATAGTACAAGATGCATACATGATATCCTGTTCACAAACACTATTAGAACAAATCTTTCTATTCATTGAATTACGAGAAAGTAGCTGTATATCTATCCCAACTATTTTGAATATATGGATACAAAATGGTTGTTCATTTGTATCCCGTTTTTGTTTAGTTTTGTCAGAGAAGGGTATTCCATTGTTTAAATATTATAGGTGCGTGAATTCAGCAAAATATTCTAATATAGTATAGTAGTCCATAATAGTAGTGGGTTTTCTGTAAGACTGGCAATGTCAGAAGTTGTTGACTTGAGCCTTTTACAGCTTAGCATATTAACATGGCGTTACTTTTTATACTTTGTTTTTATACTTTTCTGCTGGATGGTTAAGACCAAGATAAAGCAAGACCTATGTAACAAGAATTGTAATTTTTGTATCTGATAAGGTCAGTCAAATCCCCTCAGGATTTATCCTGAAACCCTGTATCGCAGTTTGTAGATCTTTTGTCAGTGTCAGCCATGTGGATGAGTCACGACCGTTGCTTGGCCAATTTGCTGTCTTGTAAAAGCCTGAGAGAATGTTTTCTCTCCATGTGACTCTCCTCAGGCATACTCTACATCATCCATCACTTTCCTCTTTGGCCCCATAATCTCCTTGATCAGAAAATTTGGGACACAACTGAGTTATATGATGTTACAGTACCGGTTCTCTTATGTCCTGAGTCTTCACTGACCTTGGAAGGTTAGGGCCAAAATGTTGGCTGTCCTTGTAGCCCTTCTTTTTCTCTAATTTTTGGTCTGCGCACTTAGGTTGTTAACCATCCAAAAGAGCTTATTAATATTACCCTATAACACAGGCAATTGAGCTTAACCACACTATCTGTCTGAATATAAAACATCTTAGACATAACATTGAACAGGTATTTTCCATCAAGTATTAAGTCCCTACAGAATAAGAAGAAAAAAAATTGAAAAATAAAAAAAATTTTAAAAATAGGAATAAACAGTTACATATTTTTACACAGAAATTTAGAAATCTAACCATATACAGCATTGTAGCAGGACAGTTCTATGACATTTTTTTTCTTGTCTCTTGTTTTCATTTATTACCCCCTTTTTTAAAAACAAACATTTACTTGAGAGACAGTATGGCAGTAATTGGTATGTCATAAAGTCATCTCATTTAAAAAGTGTAAGTAAGCTGGACACCCACAGTGGCTGCCCACACCTCTAGCCCAGCACAGGGAGCTAGTGTAGGAGGCTCCTGAGTCGCAGGCTGCCCTGGACGATGGACACAGACTCACTGCTAAGCAAACAAAACTCCTATGCCTTAGAGTCACAGCATTTGTACTGCAAATAATTAAAATAATTTACCTTTTTGGTAACTGAAGTCATAACTTTCTTTATAATACACTGTAAGGCCTAAATTTCCTGTGTGTGTTTTGGGAAGTAGGTTTTACCAGGGGCTCATGCAAGGCAAGCGCTTGAGTACCTCGCTACGTCTCCAGCCATTTTTATTTTATTCTGAGATAAAGGTTTCGCTCAGTTACCCAGGCTAGCCTATAGCTTGCCATCGTCTGCCTCAGCCTCTAGCGTGACTTGTATCACTGGCGTGCCTGTGGCACCTGGCTCAGAATTTATGTTCTCAACTGTCCAATTTCTTGTTTTCAACACAAATAAGTAAAAATACCTTAGGCTAATGTGATCCATAAATACTCCTCTATACAATTTAAAATAATTAAAGACCTCCAACACTAAGTTTTTCCATCTCACACAATAAAATCTAGATCACAGATGTGTGGCAAAGCCTTACCTTTGTGGAGAGGAAAAAGGCTGCTTCTTCAGTGCCTGCATAAGATTGGGTTTATATTCTGGATCAACACACCACAAAGAACCTTTTCCATTAACCTAAAACAAAATGCACAAAAATTAATAACCTGAAACTTTTTTTTTTTTTTTTTTTAATGACAGGGTCTCATTTT